CGTTGTTGTAAAAGAGTCTTCTTCATCGTCTCCAACAAAATTTTTGTTTTTTGCTTTTTCGAATTTTTTTGGAAAAAAAGATTGTCAGAAAGAGTTGTTTGTATAAAATGTTTATTGAAAAAGAAAATAATTAATAAAATAAATTGTTTAAGAAGATATATACATCTTATTGCTTTTGATAAAGTTAGAATATGAATTGTATTGAAAGCTTTAAACATATCTTGTAGTACTATTTATAGTTCTTTGTTATTCTCTGATGCATCTTCAAATATATGTTTCAATATATTTATATTGTTTTGAGTTGATTAGTATAGCAAAGCTACAGAATTGTAGGATGAGAGAATGTTGTATTGTGCTAGTTTTGTTGTAAGCTGTATAGTAAGAATTTTAGTAAAGAGTTTTCGAGAATATTCAATTAGTATTATAGGCCTAGTATAATTTAAGTCATTATTATAATATGACTGTTTTGGTACAGACTATATGTTTGAGTTAAGTCAATTCTTTGATACATATTCAAGTCTTAGACAAGTATTCATAATTTCTAGCAAAGCTAAAAGTGCTATTTTAGGTAGTTGTCAGAGTATTTCATTTGCTACTTGAGATAGTTCAGAGGTTTTGTTATATAGTGATGCTTTGATCATATCTTGTAGATTATCTATTGTAATTAGTACTATAAGGTTACTATAAACAAAAGGCAGTATATTCTTTATTGGTTTATAGTAATCTTCCTATATATGCTACAGTTCTTCATTGTATAAATTGTATTTAGTTCAGTTTGCAAAATATTTGCTAGTATATTCTTTTATATCTCTTAGTTCTATAATTATTTCTTCTGATATGATAATTTTTTGAAAATCTACTTTTTGCTTTTTTCGTTTCAGAATATTATCTATTATTTTTGTTGTATTGTTTTAGAAATCATCATATCTTTTGTTAACAAAGAATTTTATTCTTTAGTTTGTTTAAAGTTTAGTTCTAAATTTCTTGCTCTCTATAGTTCTTCTCTTTTTTTGTATAAGATTGTTTTGAGTGATGAGTTTGGATTTATCAGATTAGTATCTTCTATGAATAAAATGTTTTGGTCTGTTAACTTATTTGCTCTTACTATATATTTATTGATCTTTTGTATAATATTTTAAAGAGATATAGATATGCTTGCTATTTGCTATGTATGTTAGGCTTTTTTTATATAAGTTAGTGCTTGGTGTAATAGAGTTGCTTTTAGTGAAAGTGCATAGAATTGTTTGCCTATACTATATAAGAATAGAATATATTTGTTTGCTACTTGTTTGACTATATTGATCTATTTATCCTAAGTTTTATTTAGTATTATCATATTAGTTATAGCCTTGTTGCTAAGTTTTTCTTATATCACATTATTGATTAAAGTTCTAAATTCTTCCTATTGTTCTTTTATTGCTTTATCATAATTGTAGAATTTGTATTTATACTTTTTTTGTCATTTATGTTTTGAGATAAAATTTGTGTATTAAGTAGTTGCTATTATATAGGGTTTTTGTCTTGAAAATAACTTTACAGCACTAGAAATTTTTTTTGAGTAAATAGTAATTAAAGGTTGTATAACCAAAACAACTCAAATTTGATTTGCTGCTAATTTTAGATATGCTGATCATCGATCATTGCAGATTTTAGAGATCAACTAATCAAAATTACGAATTTTAATTAGAAAAGCAAGTAGAGATATTAATAATCAGCTTCGCAGCAATTGTCAATAAGTAAAGTTATAGAAAAGCTATTTTTCTATAACATTTCTAATAGAAGTCTATGGGTGAACTGATCATCTAAATTTTTTTCATGCTAATCAGTTCTATTTAAATTACTCAAAAAATTAATAATTTTACAAATACTAATTAAAAATACTAATTTTGACCAAAGTTAGCTAACAATTACTGCAGGACTAATTAATATTCCTAAAAGTGAAAATATTTTTTAGATCAAGTAGCTAAAAATGTTAAATTACAGATACTTGCTTACTTAGATTTTATTAAATTAAAAACTATCTATATATTAATTTTATCTTATTATATTTTGAATTTTTCGAATTTAGCTCAAAAGTTGAGCTGCTTTCCTCCATTGTCTCGATTAGAGGTAGGTTTTTATAAGTTTTACTTGAGTTCATATATTAAACTATTCTTAAAACTTTTTTTACCTTAGGTATTATTTATTATTTTATTCTAAGTTTATGCAATATACAAATATCTATAATTATAATTAATTTATTAATTATCTGAGAACTTTCATGATATCCAAAAGTAAAATAATATTTAGTCTACTAGCCAAATTTTGTAAGTCTTAATATTGCTTAGTCTTTTTCTTATTTACTGATTTTATGACTTTAATCACATATTTTTCATTGTTCATAATGTTGATCTTTTCAAATATTTCAGAATTAGTATTTAGGATACTGCAGTAGCAAAATTTGCACAGAAATTCTGCTGTATTATTGGTAGATATAGTCTATTACGATAAATTTGAATATTAATTATATATCGCTATAAAATTTGTAAATTTAATAGCAGAATTTTTTAGTTAGAGCAGAATATTTATCATATACCTGTTTCCTATGAATACTAAATAAGTAATAATTATAAGTTTTTTTTTTTAATTACATCTATTAGTAATATATATTTATAAAATTTTAAACAATATTATTAAAATAAAAATTTTTTAGTATTAAAGTTGTGGACAATGAATATCTTTATATAGGTCATCAACATATTGATAGATTCTTGTATATAAGTATTTTTTACGGTCATCTGATAATAGTATAGTAGAAATAGTATTTAATTGACTATTTTTATCGAAATTGTTATTATATAATAACAGAAAAGAAATCTCCTCTCTATTCAATTTTTTTGAAGCATAAACCTTTCCAATTTCAGAGCTATTAAATTGAAAGTGATAATACTGTTTTATATTTGGCAAAGGTTTAAAACTATTTTTAAAAAAAGAATTAAAATCATATCAAATTCACCTTTTACTATTTTTATATTAAATTGTATTATTTTTTTTTGATGAATTTTTTACAATATTTTAAATATCATCCCTAATATTAATATGATTATCTCTATAAACTTTTTTAATATATTCAAAGAATGAATCACAAATAAATTTCATGTAACCAGAAAGTATAAAATTAATGATAATTTCCTCATACCAATTTAATGAACATAACCAAGACCAAAACCAAAGTGATAAATTATTCTTATTTTGTTCGCTACAGTTATTACAAGTAACTCTTAATTTTTTTGTTTTTTTAGAATTTTTAAGAAAATAATAAACCATATTTAATATAGTATTAGCACCTTTTGAAACCTCTTCAGAAAATTTGTTTTCACCAATTAAAAAATTTAATTAATAATTTTGCATACCAGTTTTGCAAGTACTAAAAATATGTACGAAAAAAAGAGATTTAAAATAAAATGAACCTACTTGTTGTGGTGAATATAGTATAGAAATATTTTGTGCCTAATTATAACAAATATGCGTAGTATCTAAGTTATTTTTACTTTCTTCAATATTATTATTATAATATTGCCTTTCAAGATCCGCAGCTATCTTATGTTCATCATATTCAACTTGAACATTGTTATATTCATCAATATCTTTCTTTGCGACTAATAATTTAGCCTTAAAAGAAGTGCAAACTTCACAAAGATCACTTGCATGTGGCTGAAACTAAAGGATAGGAATTATTTCATGCTATAGTTTTCTAAAAGTGAAATAAGAAATTACTTTTTCTGATTAGTCATGAGTAAGATAAAAACTTTTTTTATATTTATTATTAACTAAAACATAAGTTTAACTAGTTGGAAGGTAAATAAAAACACCTGAATTATCTTGATACCATAATGGAGAAAGAAATCTATGAATTGCTCCATATTGTACTAAAAATTATTTAATTGAAAATGTTATATTAAATCTAAAAAAGTTCTCAATTCTGTTTTAAATGCATGTTCAGTATTTCTATAAATACATTCAATTAATCTGTTTGATTATAAATAATTTTGTAAAGTAGAAAGTAAGTAATTATTAATTTCACATAATTTTAAATACACTGGCTTACAAAGAGGCAAAGAACTATTATAATTATATTTATATGTACGTTTCTTTAAAGTTTTATTATCTGATTTTTTATCAGTAAGTTCGAATAATATTAATTACAATTTTATAAAAAGTTCAAGTTCATACTCTTCTAAAGCTTTTAATTCAAAATATCTTTCAAAAAAGTGTTTAAATCTCACTTTTTCAAAACAGGTTCTAAGGTCTTTTTGTTTTGGAGTTCAGCAGCAAGTACAATTATTAGAATTCTGAAAAAATATATTTAAGTCATAAATAATATTAATAACTAGTTCATTTTCTTCATAGTCATCTAATTCTAATTCAACCAAATTATAAACAGGCTTTAAAGTATTAACAGTTGATTGTTGTGACATATTTTTTTTAAAAAAAATATATATAGTACAAGGTTTTTTAAAAAATAAACTGTATATGTAAGAATATTAAACAAGAGCCAATTAAAAATAAATTGAGTAGTAAATATATACTTAAATACTGATTATAAATATTATTAGCATTTTCAACTAAGTTGATATGAATATATCGTGCAAAGTAAAGTATTAAAAACTTGAATTAATAAAAATACATATGTATATATATATACGTATAATAACTTAATGATAGTACCTACATTATCGTTATTGAAAAACAGGTCATATACAGATACAAATTTACTTATAGCTTTTAATAAGATATCAGTACTTCTTATTCTATATCATATAATTAGAGTCATATAGTCTTGATCTTATACTATCTATAGATACTTGTTAAAAAGTTCACCTGTAAGTATACCTTCTGGCATCCTTCACTACAAGGTATTAAAAAAAAAAATTTACCTGTAAATTAGACGTATATTAGGCATTAATATAAACTTTATTAGTAATTACTATAAAGTAATAAGATTATATCAGGAATTAGGTTAGTATAAATTACTAAAGAGATTAGTAAATAACAAAATAATTTAAATGCTAAAAAAAATGATTATGTATAGTGCTATTTAAAGTTGCAAAATTTTCTCAGAATTACTCTGATTTGAATTTGTAGTTCATAGAAAGAAATTGTTATAAGAATTACTTCAATGATTGAGAACACTAAGATTCTAAATTAATATGCACTATACATATGTTGTAAGAGGGAAAATTGGTTTAAGATCGATACCAAGGTGGCTTGAATTAATTCTACTGAATCTGCTATTTCTACTATATCAACTGTCTACTTTTTGTATTGAATAAAATAGTACTATTAGTAATCAGACCCTTATATATTATATAAATACTAATTTGAATAAACCTGTAATTAACCTTATTATTAATAAATACTTACATAACCTGTTTGAAATCGAAATCACAAGATGATTTAAAACAATTTGTTTTAAAACAATATAAAACTGATTTAAAATGTTTTTTTTTGTTTTAAAACATCATCATTGATATTGATCTATAATTTTGTATCACTTACAAATTAATAAAAATTTGAATTCGTATTTGTATTTCGATCAAAAAATAAAAATAGTATATAGCTGATACTGAAATTAAAATTAACTAATCACAGTAGCAATTTCAGCTATCAGCACAATAATCACTGATGTTTTAAAACAATGTATTTTTTTTTTTTTTTTAAGACAGCTTATATTGCTGAAGGAATTTTATTAGAATTATTAATGGGATTATATATTGATAATCCCTACTGTTTGTAATTACATGAAGAGTGTACAACAAGCCACATGTACAACTTTAGTCATTGTCTAAT